TGGTTTAATATAAAAAATTCCAGTCCTAAGCTGGTCTGGCAAGCTACTGGCAAAATACACAAGCAGAAATCATGGATCAGGTTCTGAGCTCATCCCCTCCTGCCTAACCACAATACGAGAATACAGCAGCAGGTATTCACTCATTATGCAGAAGCCTAAATATACCCCAAGTTCTCCTCTTGCTTAGAACTGTGTACAAGTTTCAGACAGCACTGGACTCCCCTCAACTCCCTCTTCCCCCACAAATAAAGATAAGCAATGTATTGTGAACTGCAACCATGCATCGACACTGATTTGCTACAGGCATACATAGCACTTTGTACTATAGATCCTAAAAGCACTGCATCATGAAACAATCAATCTTCATCCCACCCTATGTATCCCCCATACCTTCCTATGTCACTAACTGAAGCACAGGTAACAGATGGAAACAGAAGCCATTTGCTTTCCAATCTGTCACCAGCAGTGTTACAGCCACTGAATATCCTTCCACTGAGGGCTGGTGCCAATGCGGCCTTATGATGGAGCAACAACGGGAAGCTACAATAGAAGAACAGGATATTTCAACGGAATTGTGCTGGTAAGCATGGCAGCAAGAAACGGATATGTCTTTAATTGTCAGATATGTACATTCATCCATTTGCCTCTTTCTTCTGGAAACAGACCCACATTTTCTCTCTTGAGTCCTTCCTCCATCTTCTTCTCTTGCCTCTTTCCTTCTCTGAACACAGCTACTTCACTATCTACTAATCTCAAGTGATCTCTCTCATTGTTCAAGGTAACTTTTACTTTGAAAGCTAATCCCTCATCGAGCACGTCTGCTAAGAAGGTCACAAGGAACTGTAATCTGTTTAGCCAGATCTCACCCTTATGAAGTGGACAAGGCTCCTATTCTCCCTGCTTTTTACAGAGAAGAGGGGTGCCACTGCCCTATGAGTATGGCAAACTTTCCAAGTAACGGATGAGAGCACTTTTTTTATTTTTCCTGACAGTATCTAGGCAGGATGACACAGTGGTCAGAGACTGAAAAAGCAAATGATACTTCACAGCCATAGTTCAAGTTCAAGAGAACTCGACTTCATACTTTGTTTTTCATCCCATCATCTCCAACTCTGGCTTTTGTACTGTTCTGCTGTTTATGCCCCCTTTTTGTGATCACTTTCCCACTTTTATTAGCCCCATCATGCCCCCAGCTCACTTTTCATGTCTCTGTTAGCATCACCTCATTTTCTTATTCTTACCTATAAATGTTAATCTGTAAATACTATCCACAAACTGACAAAGTGCAATGCATTATCACCAAGGCTACATCCTACCTACATTTCTTCCCCAAGGACTGAGACTAGTGCAGCTTTGTAGTGGAAGAACACTATGACTTATTACCATTGCTTTTTCTAAAATATTCCCTTTCCCCTAACCTCACTGTCAAATTGCAAACAAATCAAACTTCTAACTGCCAACTATTCTGAGGCTCTTCTAAAATATTCCTTCTTGGATGGGCAACTTCATCCAAAGGTTAAAATTCACAGTTACAGGCTTAAAATGATCCCTGATAAATACTAGGTTTCTAATTTCCATTTTTGCTTTTAATATTTACATGTTTAAACACTGTTCACCTCTTCAGATTTGAGTGTAAATGAAGGCCACACAGGGATAATTATTCACATGTAGCAATGTTAATTCTGGTTTTGTGGCATTGCAAACCTGAGGGGAAGGTGGAATTTTCCAGATTCCTTGTCATAAAAGCCATTAATGAGTAAAAGGAGAAGTGAAAATAACAGCCAAAATCATAGTTTTGAGAAAGGAGAAGATGTAAAATGACATGTAGCTTAATCAATGTGATTAATTTGCTTCACACTTTGCAGAGGCTTTTGCCTTCACCTTCTAATTCTGGCAACTATTCTGCTGAATCAATCTCACAAACCCAAATTAATAAGGTAGGAATGACAACTATGGCTTTATAAAGGTTAGCTGCTTGCAATTTAGACAGGAAGAGACTGCTCCCTGCTCATAGTAGGATCACACACAGCTTGACTGGAAAAACTCTTCAGTCAAAAAGCCAAAGTTATCAAGTTGTGAACCTTTAAGTCCTCTACTTTCATTCATCCGATTGGTGAGTTCAGTAAATTTTTCCCATCAGTGCCTAGTTTGGATAGTTAAAAGCCTCTGGTTTTAGATGATGCTTGGATTTACACAGCTGGGGAAGTATGAAGCCTCACAAATACCTTGTCCCTAACAGTTGTGCAATTTGTTGCCATGACTCCTGATTTCTGCAGAAAGCCCCACTACTCACTTGCTCTCTTGTTCTAGATCAGATAGGAAGAAACTCCACAGAGGGAAACAGGGAGCCAGGATAGATGAAGATTTATATCCAGTAAAAATCCCCTTACATTCTAGAACCTTTAATGGTCCATGCTAGCATGAGAATGCAGAGATGACATAAAGGATTTATGTGCCAATTCTGGTATTTTCTGGGAAAGAGAAACCTGTCACATGAGAAAATGCAGATGTACATTTATTTTTTCCCTCCTTTGAGGATATCTGTGCTTTACAGACTGTCAAAGACCCAAGCAAAAATCAGAAAAGTCTGGCCCTCAAAACAGAAATCAGAATGCATTTATTTGCTCTCTAACCTATTTGGTACATATGTCATTTTCAAGCTTTCATTCATAATGCATAAAGAAAAAGTATCTTTTTTGAAAACCAGCTTATTTCTCATACCATCTTTTAATTTCAATACCAAAGCAATAGAAAGGAAAAAAAAAAAAGCAGGTTATGAATGATTAACAGATTCATGAAAAAATCATGACAATCATTCTTACTTTTAGTATTTACTATGCAATACAGTCACAAACCCTTTCACTAAGAAAGGGCACAAAAAAATTATTTGCTTTCCAGATTAGTTTTGTCTTCTTCGGTTTAATACTCAGAAAAAACATACATGACCTCATGTACTACATGTACTACACATAAGATGTGACACTGAAGAACATGGGGACACACATGAAGGACATCCAACGGAAGATGAGACAATAATAAAAACCAATATATCTAGTATAATAAAAACATATCTAGTCTCCCACTCCACCCTTTTCCAGGGATAGTCTCAACTTACTTCAAAATGGGACTTTCTGTCACACTGCCTCAGCTGGAAATAGATTAGGGTTTTATGGGCCCCTTCATCTCAGAAATTGCCTTTTCAACTTTTCTTCTGCAACAGTTGCAGTGGATGGGTTCAAGATTTTATTATAACTACGACACACTTGGAAAAAGAACTGCTTGGGAGTCAAAAGTATTCAGCTTCAAGAATCAGCAGATATGCTTAATAAGATATATGATAATCAAGAGTCAGATTTAAATGTATTCCCATATAATTTACTGATCTTGTTTAATACAATATTCCATGGATTCACGTTTTTTTTCTGAAAAAGGTGTCCATTCAAGGAAACTGCCAAGATATCCTCAAATTCAATATGAATTTGCAATATTGATTGCTATAAACAAACAAAAACAAATATATTTTTCTGGATTTCACCCAAAACAGTAGTATTTCCATTCATGTACCCTAGAAATGCAGTAAGAAGTATAGAAAAATGATGATATCAAACTGATATGAACTAACACTGGTGCGTAGTCTTCCACTGCTGACAGAAGGAACTCAAGAGACACCAGTGTAAGTATGCAAATAGTGGTTTAAGTAATTATTTAGTAATGCCAATAACAGGAATGGTACTTTTTCTCAGCTAAGGAAAATGATGTCTGAGAGGCATGTGAACAAGTAAATGCACAGTAATTGAAGTATTTGTTTACAGTATAGTTATAATAGCACTTAACTCCCCATCTGTAAAGCATTTCCATTCATAATCTGGTCTCTCTTCCTTCACAGTAAGATTTGTAGCAGCTAAACTCTAAACTGTTGACTAGACTGGCTTTGAGCTCTTAGGATACCAACTAAGTATCAAGAACCTGTAGAACAAAAAGTAAATTACATTTTCAAAAGTTTGCAAGCTACTTAAAGGACAAGTAGAAAATACATTTTTATGCCATCTCCACTAACGGCTAAAGATTCTAGGAAAGATTAACATTCTGTAGTCATAACATTTGACTCTTTAGATTTATTCTACTTTCTCAAAGACAGATGAAAATAACACAAAAACAGGACCGTATCAAGCTATCATGAGAAAGTGTATGTCAATATCTGGGAAAGGACAGACAGAGAAATCATCAATATCCAAATGTGTGAGGGGGTTGTGGACTAACAGAAGAACATCAACACAAGAACTCCAGCTATTTCATAGGCATCCTTACCTGCAGAAGACAAACAATAAAGCAATCAAGCAGAAATCCGGCAGAAAGAAAGTTAAATAAATGTTCTAAATAACAGTACGATAGTGCACTTTTTGTCATCTGAATGGGAAACAGCACAACCTTGCAGACTGAACATTGGGTATGAATGAACTGGTGCAGTTTATGCTAAAATACCTCTACCTTCAATAATTTGCAAGTAACGAATGCATCAAAAAGGCACCTGCAACTTTAAAAGTTATCTTTTCACAAATCACTACTCTTCTGCGACGCATAATAAGTTCCATAATAAGCTCGATTTTAATACTAGAATCTACGGACACAATCTGGTTTTCAAGCAATGTTTCGTAGGCAAAGAAGCAATGAACAGACAGGCTGCATTGCTGGCTTTGGATCTGATAATAATTGACTTCTGAGGCCTGTTCTCTACAGTTAAATATATAGAAAATAACATTCTTGGAGGAAAATATTAAAGGCAAGACGATTCACCTCCCTGAAAAGTACATTTTCCAGCATCTTTAAATATTTACCCCCTGGCCAGACTGAACTCCACAAGTGACTTTTTCCTATTTTTAAGGTACTGTATTAACAGGACTTTTTGTACATTTCAAACAACAACAACAAAAAAGAATCCCTTTGACCAATTGGGCAGAATATGGCCAGTATTTCCTCAAGAGGTGGGCTACAGTGATTACCTTTATTACAAAAGTATTCCACTTCTTCACAGTTCAGATTTTCAGGCTCAAACTCTGCAGAAAAGCTTTCCTCCAATGGAAAGTCTTCTTTTGAGACAGTATCATTTTCCTCAGACAGGCACTCTTCTTCTTCATCCTCAATGGCATCCTCAAGCGGCCCTTTAAAAAGAATCAGGAACACTGTGGCAAAACCATCTAACAGGACAATGGGAAACATAGCCTTAGTGAACTTATAACTGGAGGTCTTTGGCTAGTTTTTCTTCCACAGCTGTGTTCAGCATTTATTGGAATTAGACAAATAACATTTTATGGAAATTGAAATTGAAAGTGACTGTTTTCCTGATGACTTCAAATCAGAATATGCAAAGTATTATTAATAGTGTGTTAGTAATAGATGGGTTTTTTAATTATTCATCAGGCTCCACTACTAACAGTTTTAACAATAGAAATCAAAGCTACATTTGTAAACCCCAGTAAACAGTAAAGAGCCTTCTCTTGTTTATTAGTCATTGTTTTTCGATGCTGAATTACAGTACTTAATACATTCCCTTTACAAGCTTCATTTGTCAAGTTAACGGCACTGACAACAGTGAATTACTACAAAGGTATTGACAGTATAAACTTCAGCTTATTCTGCTATTTTGCTTTAACCAGAACCTAATGGTATCCATGATCACCCATTTACTAGACCATTTAATAGACTCCCAGTCAATCGACAGGACTTGGACAGACTATCACTTCATTTCACAGAGACCAAACAACCATCATGGTAAACTACTAGCCAAGGGCTACAGAAACAAGCCAGTTACAGAAGCAGGACATGAGTCTGAATTTGAAATGGCAGCCTGACATCTTTGATCCTTCTTCTAGTAATCTAGGCAGTTATCACTGCTACAGATCCTCCTGAAGAGCCAGTATCTGACAAATCTAGTACAGAACACTCACGTTACCAACTGGAATGTACTCAAACATGAAAACTTCTTTCTTATCACTTAACAATCACTGGTTAATAGTAACTATTTGCTAAAGACATCTCCTGTGCAGGATGTAGAAAATTACCCTAGATTTAAATAGAGATTTGAAATAACTGAACATATTTTAATTTAACTGAGATTTTATTAAATGTCAGTATGTTTCAAAATCCATTTTAAGACTGGATTTCAAAAGAGAGATTTCATTATACATGGCTGAGGCTTGAAAAAAATTACATATTTCACTCTCCAATGAAAGGACACCCTCATTTATAATTGACTGAGTATTTCTTCCTTGAAATGAAAGCTAGCTAGCTAATGAAAAAAATGTAATTTGTATTTATATGATAGTTTTCCAGTATTAAATACACTATTCCTATATAATCTATCATGCTGAGATACAATACGTAAATGATTCTGTTGCATTTCACGAAAAGGGATAAATTTTTAAAAGAAATCAAATATTGACTACACTCTAATTTTATATAATTCATTATGAACCTGTGACTACCTACATTTATTAAAACAGCAAAATTCATTCCATGCAAGGTTGTGTAATTCTTGCTTCAGAGGAAAATGATGGCTACTTTTTATTGAAATTGATTACGATTCCCAGCTGGGATTCCATAAATTAATATAGCCTACTCTCTTACATGGAAACAGGACTATTTGTGCCAAATGAGAATCTGACCAAATGAACCTGCTTTTGCGGACACCCACCTACCAACCAGCTCAATGACTAGCTGTCATTCAACAATATATCTCCTAAAATAAGGGGCTATTATTATGGCTGAAGAAATAAAGATCCTCACTATCAAAGTATCCATTACTGTTAATTGCACCTTCTAGACATGTGTGGAAAAAATCCAGCAACTGCATATGCACAGAGAATGAAGAGTGGGTATCACACTGTACAGAACAGAGAACAAAGCAGTAGCATGCACTGCAGCTAAACATGGGCAGATTTAGCACCTTTCATGTGTCCAGTTTCACAGCAGAAATGAAAGCACAAGTGGTTCTGCACAAACTATCAAAAAGTACCTTTCATATTTCATAATATCATCAATATGTGACATTATCTGTAGAGCCACTTATTGATGTGCACTCCTGGTAATGTCTGGATAAATAAACTAGGAAGGACAAGCAAACACAAAGACAAAAATATGCTATTTTAGGGAAACATATGTTTCTGCCATGTATAAAGATGGATAAATGCCATGTTTTCAAAAGCAGTCACATGCCTTTCAAAATTTTCAAAATATTTTAAATTTGAGGGAAAAAATGTAAACTTCAGCCAGTATTTCAGGGTAAGTCAGTTTCCTGCTGAATGACTGGCTCTTTGTCATCTGACTTATTCAATAAGTGCCTTATAAAACACAGCAAAAGCAAAGTATCTGCAAGTAATTCAGTTGGCATGTGTACATGACAGTTAGGTCTGTTTCTAGATGTTAAACCGCTTTGTTTGATCAGCTCATCAGTACATAATCAACAAGCTAATAATCACCACACATTAATTAAGAAAAGTGCAGTTGGGATGCTTTTATTTGCAGCAGTCATGGAAACACACACCTCATGATTTCCATTGACACTGTTTCCAAGAAGGCAGAAGAAAAACAATGCACACACCAGCTCCACAGCACAGGTTCAAACCCCTGTCATTTTGTGAGTTAGGTCTTTATTTTTTAAAGAAATCTCAGACTAAAAAAAAATCTTGACAAATACTTCCACAGATACATCCTACCTATGAACAGGCATGTAACACTTCCTAAAGTTACGTGTCCAAGCATTTGAAAACAGGAATGTAAAGATTGTCGCATCCAAGTAAGATCAGGTGCATGCACCTATGCCAGCTTTCGCTATGCCAACCCACATACAAAAGCCAGTGATGTTTATCCAGTCCCATATGGGCACACATCAGAGATTTACATAACAGCTCACCTCAGGGGCTAACATCAGACCCCGCACTCAAAAAATCAGCATGACTTCTGCTGAAATTGACAGACCAGTGCATAAAAATTTTTCCTAGGTTTCAGGCTGCTGCTGCCTTGTCTAAATCACCCATCTACTACAACCTGATCCTTGGGACGAATTCTGTCATACTTATCCTGAGTCATCTTTTAAGTGCTCAAATACAATCAGCTCATGCCTAGACCTATATACTGGTAACGTTTAACTAAAGAGTAAGGCTTTGTTCAACATGAATAAGACCAACCCACAAGAGCACCAGCAAAATTAAGTGTTTCTTGGTTGCTAGTTTCATGTGAACTATCAACATCTGATTTCTGTGGCTATTTTTAATTATTACTCAAACACTGAGCAGGTTAAACAGTAAAATCAACAACCAGTTACTAGTAAGTATAAACAGACTGAACTCTATTCTTGACTGCTCCGTTTAATTACTTGCGCATAAATAGACAATGAATAAAAATCAATTTTCAGAACCTCACAATAAAGATCATACACAATTATATATTCTTGACTGATGCAAGCACATAAACGCTGAAGGCTCATGTTTGCCTAATTTGGCCATGTGCTTCCAGAAGCCTCTTACTGATATGTGTAAATCAAGTCAGCTAGAGAACTAAGAAATTATCTGGTTTAAAAACATATAGGTTGGTTTTCAAATTTCACTAGCTTCTCCGTTTAGGAAACAACCTACATAGCATTTACTCAACTTCCTCCCCAATTTAAAATACTTAAAAATACAGAGTCATATAGACAAAAATAAGTCTAAAAATAACAGTTTCTGTCAACTGTTTCCCCTGACAGTGCTTTTTTCCCCAATTGTTATTATGCTGATATATTACCTTCAACAGTCCAAATACAGCTTAATCACTTAATTTAGCATTATACTTCTGCATTTCTTTTAAACTGTTGATTTAGTATTACACTCATTACTTCGACTGATCATGTTATTAAGTACCTATGGCACAAGAGGTACTGTGTTTGCTTTTATTTCAATTGGAACAGGGTTAAGGTCCCATCCCTGTTCTGATGAAAAATCCTTTTCAATAACTGCTGATCAGTGTGACTTTAAAACCACCAACTGCCATAATGACACTGTAATGCAAATCCAAGTAATTCCTACTGCTGAAATTCATCTGAATGTCACAGTGGTCTGACAGTAAACAGCTCTGAGATATGATTAGGCTTAAATAAAACAGTAACATTCCAAACTGAAATGGTTTAAGAATTTAGTTGAATAGTTAATTCTAGATGTTTGTCTTTTTGTTTAAGCTATTCTTTTCCTACTAGCACTTTATAAAAGAATGTGATGTAACCCAAGGAGAGGTGATTCTGAAACACTTCTGATTAGCTAGGTACAGTTAAGAATTCCCAAATGCACGAGGTAAAAATTCAATCTCTCATCTTCAATGGTGGTACTAAAGGCAAAAGAAGTCTGCATTACTTCACTGAAGATTTTGCATGAGGTCCTAAAAAAAATATTTCCTTTATAAAACAAGCAAATACTCAACACAGGAATTTTCAAAGGTTTGTTATTTTCTTGGTACTTACTTTACTTCATTAATATTTATTGACATGACCATAAATCTTAAATATTTTTTCAAATAACATAGACAAACAAGAGGCAGTAGAAAACAGTACACTTAGTGACAGGAACGAAAGAATCAATGCGGCAGAAATCTGTATGGCTTAGTGGACACAGTAGTCCACTTTGAAAAACCAGATATAATTTGATACAAATAACAAAATCTACTGAGGAGAGGCTGAGGAGCAAGTTGCATGTGCCTTCATGGAGAAAATTACTTCTGATTGAGGCCACTTGGCTGTGCAGTGTGGGGAAATCTGAATTGTGCTCCCTAATTTTTACCAGATTTACAGACACTCAAGGCCATACTTTTTTAGCACTATTAATGTATTAAATGCTAAAAAGATATATAAATCTTCCTCAAATAGTCATATACTTAAATATAAATGCAGAAACCTAGATACAAACACAAAAAGATAGCTATGTAAGTGGCAATATTTACACAATGGGTAACAGATGCTACCTCATCGCTTGAAAGGATAGGCCATGTTTAGCTAAACAAAACAAAATCAACACTGCAGGAATTTCAATAACATGGAAAGGTGTAAGAATGAACCACCAAAGGGTTTGCACTCACTTCACAAAAGATGCATTTGCTACAATGAAAACTCCTAAGAACACAAATTTGAGCACTGGAC